AAAAAAAGAAAAAGAAAAAAAAGGAACTATACAAAATCTGTGGGTCAGATGCAGGAAAATATTTATATTTAATATTCAGTTCCTGTGGCTTTCTCTTGCCTAAGTTCCCAGTTCTTTGCTATTTCAACCTTTTACATAGTTTCCTGATCACGAACATGTTAAAAATGATCTGTGCCACAGGTCTTAATCCTTGATGCTCAGGTTTATCTTAATTCCAAACCTACTATTTCTTCTGATCTCATGGCTCTGTCTTCTTGTCCTGCACCTATCATCCAAGCACATATCCTTCAGTAAAATATAGATACCACTAAGGTCCACCAACATCTGTAAACAATATTATGTAGTAGAGATGTATAATAAGAGGTGGGATTACAATTTAAATCATGAAATCTGTATTTAACAGGCAATGAGGTAGAGGTGTTAATAATCATATTTATTAAGGGTTTTTTAGAGGTGCTGAGCTCAATGCTAAGTACTTTTCATGCCTGATCTCACTGAATGTTTACAATCACGCTCTGAAGCAGGCATTAATAGACCCGTTTCAAAGATAAGGAAGATGAGGCTTAGATTAAGTCAGCCACATAGTAACAGTCAAGAGCTGGATGCAAGCCCAGATCAGGTGAACTGCATATATCATAATTTGAACCACTACGCATTACTACCAAAGTATGGACTTTCACATAGTCCCAGAAAATCTGCAAATACAGATCCACTTGATTTATTAGCTAAGTGACCTTAGGCACGTCACTCAATCTCTTAGTCTTGCTTTTCTCATTTGTAAAATGAAGACTATATTTCCCACTTATTTCATGGAGTTGCTTCAGGGCTTAAAGAAGGTAATATAAAGGAAGATTCTATAAATATTAATCATTACTGTATAAACAGACATGCTGTTGTGGTTACATGTCACTCTTGGGGCCACTGACAGTGCTTTCTTTTTCATAAGAATATTCCTGGACATGAATTCAAATGAGAGATGTCAAGCTCTTATTAGGGAGAAGACAATGTAATGAACTGGAAAAGACTCAAGATAAACATGAAAGTAATAGGGAATAAAACACACATTTCTCCTGGAAGTAGGCAAGGTAGGAAATATTACCTGGCTCAAGTGGTTCCATGGGGTCAAAAGTGCTTTTCTTTGAGAGGTTACTCACAGACAAACTGAAAGGGACTAAAGCAGGGGAAAAAGAAGCAGGTACTGTGGCAGTCCCCTCTAATGCAGGTAGGGTTCGCATCATTTGCATAGGATCTGGGGATCTCTCCTTTAAAACAAATAGGTTAAATAAACTGTCAGATGAAATTACATACAACAATGACATAAATTTCCATGCAGTTTCAAAAATAAGTATGAGAAGAAAGACTTCAAAGTCTGCCAACATTTCACAAATACTCTTTCTTTTTCTTTTTGTGACCTTTACACTGAGATACATCCCTAGCCTATTTTTGAGACAAGGTCTTGCTGTGTCACTAAGTTGCCCAGGCTAGTAATTGTCCTGCCTCAGCCTCCCAGAGTGCCACAATTACAGGCTTGCACAACCATGCCTAGTTCTTATTTCTTAATAATCTCAAAGAATTAAAAAATGTTTTGTTCTGTTGTCTCTGTATCTTACTCTAAACTGGTTTTCCCATGTTGGAGAATAAGTGTGTGTGCAGTTTCTCTGTAAAACAGAATTTTCCTTTTCATAGTAAAAAGCCAGAGGTAGCCTTTTTACTTGAAAAGGAATGAGTTTTAGAATTCAAAGTAATTTTCAAAAAAGGTATGTCTCTTTTCAATATTATTTAGCATTTTCTTTTTTTAAAAAAAGGTGTCACTGAAATTGTAACTTTAAAGTACAGAAGGAGAATCTCTAAATTTAATTGAGAATTGTCCTCTCAAACTGAGTCCTTATTTGTTCTCCATGTTTCACTGCTTATGGTATATAACCTTCCACTGCTCTTGAGGCCTAACTAAAAGATAAAAGAATATAGCATTAGGCATGATTATGTCCTAGGAACCTACTATACAACATAAAATCGTGCCTGTATTAACAATACTATATTGTTCAATTTAAAATCTGCTCCATGGGTAGATCTCATGTCAGATGTCCTACTACAATAACAGAAAGTATGTAAAAAGTTAGATGAGAAATCAATCCATACACAGTTGAAAAAACAATAGTCACTCTCAGGTAATAAATAGGGCCTATAAAAGGACTTTGTTTATTTTTTTGGTACTGGGGATCGAACTCAGAACCTTGCACTTGTGAGGCAGGCAGTGGCATATGATGCTTTATACAGTATCACTGTCTACAAGTCAAGGTCACCATGAAAATGTAAACTCTGCACTTTTTGTGCTTTTAATAACGTCACTCTGAATTCCCTCTAAAAGTTTAAAAAGCCTTCAACTATAATTACTTTATTAGCAATCATAGCTGAAAACATACTTCTTTGATTTAAAAAGACAGAAGTTTTTCTTCACATTTTCTTTGCAATTCTAGATCACCCTATTATATAGGACATGACTGTACCCGCTCTCTTCGGCGCAAACGTGCTGCCAAAGTTCTATGCAGTACATTTCCTGAGGTCAGATTGTCAGAGGGCAGCAAAGTAACTGCAGGTAGGCAAAAATCATTTGTTTCACTGAAGTCACTTTCTCCCACCTCATCAATGCGTGGAGAGGCAAAAACTAGTGTTTGACATCCACCACAAGCAACCTATAAGCATAAATAAAAAAAATTAATTGACAGGCATCAAACACAAATGGATTTTTAACAGTTATCAGATCATCTACCACGCTTACTTTTACTTACAGGTAGACTTCCTAGATTTACTCATAAATTATCTCTTCTCTGTTCTTTTTCTTCTCCTCCCTGCTTCTCTGCCCTCCTGCTCTTCTCTCTCCCTCTCCCCCACATCTTTCTCTCACTCCATACACACATATGAATTAAAATACATAATCTTTAAACATTATGATAAAAAGTTAGAACAGGTTTAATCTACTATTTGCATTCAACTTAATATAATACAGAGAAGAAATTTCTTATATTTCATGTCTCCTTACAAATTAGAAAATGTTATATTTTAATAAGTGTGCAACACTAAAAACTTGAAATAACAGTTCAGAGCTCTACTGGGAAAAAAAGATGATCCAAAGATAAATCAGTCTTTTGGGAAAATTAAAGCTGTTTTTGTTACTTGAACATTTTCTAAATTTAATGCTTAAAAGTCTTTAGGGGAAAATGTAAGTATGTATGATGATGAAGCAATGAAAAATGAAATAAACCTCTAAAGAATTTTGAAAAATAAATGGATTTCCAGGAAGTGCTAAAAAAAAAACCCTAGAGTATTTTTAATATACAAATTCTAGCCACTATTTAGTGTTCTACCTGGTGGTATAAGTAGAGCATTTTCTGCACCTTTCCTTTATAGCATTTTCAAATTTAAAATTTACCTACATATTTTATAACTTTGTAAAATGATTATCCGCATAATACTATAAGCCCAATGAAGAGCTGGGCATGGTAGCACATGTCTACAATCCCAGCATTCAGGAGACGGAGATAGGAAGACCATGAGTTCAAGGCCAGTCTGGGCTAAACAGGAAGTTCAAGGCAAGCCTAGGCTACATAGTGAGACCATGTCTCAAAAAGAAAAATTTTAAAGACTATAACCTTAATGAATGAGGACTTGGTTGGTCATTTTTTTCATTGCTGAATATTTTTTATGCCTACTTTGTCCATTCTCTTGCACACAGCAGGCTTTCCTTAAGCAGTTGTCAAATAAATGAACAGAAGTTGCATTTAGTACATGTTTACTGCACATCAATATTTGGTTTCTTTGTGTCTATATTATAATTATATATCTCTTTTCTATGATTAAAAGCTGTACAGTTGTACCTTAAAAAAGTTTGTGTCTGATTAATTTCATTTAACATTATGGTCTCAAGGTATATCGTTTTCCTATAAATGAATCAAATATATCCTTTTCATGGCAGAGTAGTGCTCCATTGTGTATAAATACTAAATTTTCTGTATTAATTCACCTCTTGATAGACATATAGGCTAATTCCAAGATTTAGCTATTATGTGTTTTATGGCGATAAACATAGTTATTCATGTATCACTGTAATATAATTATATTTAACTCTTTCAGGAAGATACCTAGAAGGTGAATAAGAAGTGCTGAATCTAATAGAATTTCTATTTTAGGGTATTTTGTTTGCTTTTTGACACAAGGTCTTGCTATGTGGTTCAGGCTGGCCTTAAACTCACGGCAATTCTCCTGCCTCAGCTACCAAGTACTGGGATCACAAGCATGTGCAACCATGCCTGTCTTCTATTTTTAGTTTTCGAGCAACATCCATTCCGATTTCCATATTGGTTGTACTAGTCTATAGTACCACCAACAATGCAGAAGAGTTCCTTTTCCCCCATAGCTTTGCCAGCATTTGTTATCATTTGATTTCTTGATGACCTCTATTCTTTCTGGAGTAAAATAGAAACTCAGTGCTGTTTTAATTTGCATCTGACTAATGGCCAGAGATACTGAATATTTTTTATGTATAATGGCTATTTATATTTCTTTTTCTTCTGATAAGTATCTACTCATTTCTGTTACCTACTTTTTGACTGCATCTTTTATTTTGAGGGGTCTAATTTTTTTAGTTCATATATTCTAGATATTCATCTTCTGTCCAAGAAAATGCTGGTAATTTTTTTCCCATTCTGCAGGCTGTTTCTTCACTGTACTGGTTGTTTTGTTTGCTGTGCAGAAGCTTTTAAATTTGATGTGACCCCATTTGTTGATCCTTGAAGTTAATGCTTGTGCACTTGAGGCTCTGTTCAGCAAGTCCTTGCCTATGCCTATGATTATGTCTTCAAGAGTTTAACCTATATTATTTTCCAGCAGATTAAGTATTTGTTTTAGCTTTTAGATCTCTGATCTATTTTGATTTTAGTTTAGTACACTGTGATCTAGACTCAATTTTCTGAGGCTGGAGAGCCAATTTTCTCAGCACAATTTTTATAAAAGGCTGTCTTTCTTCCAGTGTGTTTTCAGCCTCATTGTCAAAGATTGGATAACTGCATGTTTCTGCATCCATTAATCTATTCCATTGATCCACATGTCTGTTTCTGTGTTAGTACCATGCTGTTTGTTTCACTGTAGCTTTGTAATGTAACTTCAAATCTGGGATTGTGGTGGCTTTTGCTTTGTTCTTGTTGCCCAAAACTGGTTTTGGTATTCTCGGCCTCTTCTGGTTCTATATAAATTTTAGGATTACTTTCTCAAGATCTGTAAGGAATGTGGTTGGTATTTTGATTGGAACTGCATTAGTGCTCTGCCTATCCAGGAACTGAGGAAATTGTTCCACTTTCTGATGTTCTCTTTGATCTTTTTTTTTAGAGTACCATAGTTTTTGTTATAGGGGTCTTTTACTTCCTTGGTTAGGTTAATTCCTAAGTATTTAATTTTTCTTGTTGCTATTATAAAAGGTACTGTTTTCATAATTTCATTCTCAGTGAGTTCATTATTTAGCCAATAAAACATATTTTTAAAAAAATTTTACAGGCATGGCACCGTCTGGCTTTCAAAAAACATGAGAATCATAAGAGTTAAGATTTGGGAAACTCGGGACCTTGTGCTTGCCAAGAAGGTGGAGGCACCCTGAGCTAAATCCCTAGCCCAAAAAGGAATATATTAAAAGAGAAAAGTTAGAAAGGAACAAATTTTTCACAGTGATATAATATCTAACATGTGGCTCTTAGAAAATTAATTAAATTGATTATATATATCATGATATTCTTTCAAACATAAAAACTTATTTTCTGATATACTGACTCAAAACAGAAATATGAAAATGTACAAACAAGAATGTGATACCCTTACCAATTGAACTGTAAATCTCAAGAATTCACAGCACACAATGGGAAAGAATTGATTGGTAAAATTCTCTAGTCCAAGTCCTAATTTTCCATGCCGGCCATCTCCAAAAGTATACATAAAGCCTATATCTAAAATGCAAGAAAAAAAGAAAAAGATAATTATAAAAGTGTTACTTTTATCTCTATTTGTAAACCAATAAATAAATTTATATTTCAATTAATAATTTTTCCATCCAATTCTATATTGAATTCACTCTAATCCACTGATCCACACTCTCTATGGTCTTACAAATAACAGTAGGCAGGAAATGGGAAGGATAGGGAAAAGGAAAGAAGGGAATGGAATTAGTATGAGAAAATGAAAAAATGGAAACAGTCTGTGTACATAGGAAGGGATGGAAGCGAAGGGAGGGGTTGAAGGGAGCGCAGGGGAATGGGAAAAAAATAAGAACCAAGATGGATCATGTAAAGGTGCAAATTTCCAATGATGAATGTCATTATATTGTATACCTTAAATGTACCAATAAAATTAATTTTAAAAAATAACAGTAGGGCTGGGGATTTAGCTGAGTGGTTCTAAAAAAAAAAACAACTTAACAGTAGGCAATAGATTAACTCTGAGAATAAAGCACTAAACCTGGAAGCAGCAATACAACACAGAATCCTTGATATACATATTATCAAAGGGAAACAGATGCTTATATTCTGACTCCCCTCTATGCCAACACAATCTATTTTCTTCTTTCCTCAGGTAATTGATGGATCAGAGTCTCTCAACTTCAGCACTTGTTATGGCTTATATCTAGATCTCCGCGCAAAGTCATATCATCTCCCCTGATATAGTCATAGGTGGGAAGCTTCGATGGTGGCTGGATTAGGGTGTGTGAACATGGATTAAAGATGTGGGTAATGGAAGCCCTACCCTAGGTATGAGTGGAACCAATCAATTGGCTTTAGTGTGAATGGAATATAAAGGGATAGAAAGAATGCAGGCTTGCTGCTTGGTGCTCATTGCCCTCTGTGTGCCACACCATGAATTATTTATCCACTGTGGTGCCCTTCTGCCATGCCACGCTGCCTTGGAACCAGCCGACTATGAACTGAAACCTCTATAAACTGTGAGCTGAAATAAACTTCCTCCTTTAACTTTGGGTGGGTATTTTGTTTCAGCATTGAGAAAACTAACCAAGGCAACATTATTGACATTTGGGACTACGTAATTTTTGCTTGTGTTGGGTCCGTTCTATGCACTGTAATATGTTTACCAACATCCTTGGTCCCTATCCACCACATGCCCATAGAATAACATCCCCTTTCCTTGAGCTGTGACAATCAAAACTGTTTCCAGATTTCACAAGCATCTCTTGGGGGAACAAAAGTACCAGTTATAGAGAACTACTGACTTAGACCAATCTGTCTCTTTCACTAATCTGGCTCCTGAGCTGCAGAATACTGCTTAAGGAAGTATAATCCAGCTAACCACAATGACTAGTCTTTATACCAATAACTGGATCCATGGTATAGCTGAACCCATGATGATGAGTAATCTTGTCACTTTTTTCCAGTTAACCCTTTTGCCCACTACCATAGTAGCTATTCTGAATCCTCACTCTTTTTATCAAGCCCCTCCCTTACATGCTACACATCTCAAAATAGATAGTGGGCCACGGAAATAGAAACAATAGATGCTAATATGGGCAGGAGGACTTCCTTCTAGTCTGGGGATTAGGGCAGGCTTTCAAACTGAAACCTGAAGGATGCACAGGGTTTACTTATAAGAAGAATCAGCAGTATATACGTAGAAGTTCCCTGAGTCAACAGTAAACATGGCTCAGGAAAGAAGCTGAAAGTCAGTCAATGAGCCTAGAGCATGAAAGGGAGAGTGGTATGAGATGAGTCTAAACAAGTAAGACAGAACCCTAATCACAGAGAAATACATTAGTTCAGATTATGAATTTCTGAACTCCATCTTAAGAGTAGCAAGAAGCCAGATGAATGATTTCAATGATTAGGTCACATTTGGGAATTTCTGGTTTAAGAAAGCAAAGTGACTGCATACTGAGAAAATTCACAAGAATTAATTTAAAAATTATTGAAAATAACAATTCAGTAAGGTGATAAGTTTAAAAATTTACAAAAATAAAGATTCCATATAAAAAGTGATACCCAATATTTAGACTCTTAATTTAGAGTTTTATAATTCTATTAGATATTTACTTCCTTTGTATATATTCCTTATCAATTTTCTCCTTGATTTTCTTCACCTAAAATTGCTTTCTAAGATCTGCTTTTCTAATTTAGTTTATGTCTGTCTAAAAAAATGAACTCTGATCCAAGCTGCCTGATTGCACTTCCAACCCGAGAGCTTTTTGAAATATGAGCCACTGGCTAGAATAAGAAACTGTACAGACAACTCACTACATACCTCTCATCAGTCTTAAAAGAAAAAAAATCCATAAGAGGTGTCCCCTAGGAGGATATATGAGTAAAAAGTCAAAGTTAATATTCAATTATTTGGGCTCTTTATTAGGAGGAATGACTCTATGAAAATTTAACTAAGATCTTTTTGTATGTCAGATAATACAAAAATGTGTACTGACTATATTTGCTATTAATGGCAATTTAAAGCAGATGAAAATGGCACTAAGACAAAGCAACGGGCTAGAATTCCACAGTGAAGGATACATACAAACAACTCTCAAGAAACAAGTGAATGAATACTTCTTCACTCTACATAGTGCTACTTCATTCTACATTAACAGTAACACTGATACTTCACATAGGTTTTCCCCTCTGAACTGTTCTGTGGTTCTGTGGGGAAGAAGGAACTGTGTACCTTGCTTGTACTTGCTGATTCCCACTTTCTCTAACTCGATACTATTAGATGAGCTCCCTTTTAACAGTTTTTTTTAGAAAGGAGAAAAGCAGAAATTTATCTGAATTTCTGATGCTTTACTTCATTTTTAGGTAAAAATAGGAAAATTACAGAGCCTTTTATTAAAAACTATTTAAATCTGTGGAGTATATCAATTATCTACAGGTAAGTTATTGAAACATTATAGGGAAGAATTTTCTTGAGTCTTCCTTCTGAAGTTGAGAAGAAGGCCCAAGGGAACATCTCCTTGGATAAAGGAGAAGTCACAGAGTGGGTGATATATTCACTTAGTGACCTTTGAAGTGGAAAGAGAAGAAAGATGACAATGCTTAAAACACCTCCTGATGGCAAAAGCATCTTAATTTATTCAGCGTGAATGTAGCTCTGTCAGATTAAAACAGAAAGAATATTGTAACATAAGTTCTTTCTTGTGGGATGTCTCCCCCTGGCTTGAGTACGCTTAAAAGCCTCCACACTAATGTAATTTCAAGAGAATTCCAGCTTCTGGTATCAGTGTCCTATTTTGAGATTCAAAATCTTTGGATGGCTTATTTTTTGGTGTTGGGGATTAAACCCAAGGCCTCACCTATACTAAGTACACATTTTGCCACTGAGCCGTACCTCCAGGCCCCACTATTTAAAATAGTAAAAAGGAGTTTACAGCTTTATACTTTGGAATACTAATCAAAGGATTACGTTTTTCTCAGTTATTAATCCCTTTAGTTAGATACATTAATTCAATATATTATTTTGTAAAACAATATACCCAGTACTACCAATATAAAACAGAAAATTTAATCCATACCTGTTATCAAAGCTGTGTGATTTTCTCCACAGGAAATATAAGTTATTTTCTGATCCTTAATTTGTTCAATGACTTTAGGTTCTGATGTTGCAAAAAGAAAAGTGCCAAGGCCTAGCTGACCAAACTGTCCCAGCCCAAAAGCATACACAGCTTTCTCTGAAAGGCATAAATATAAGAAAAGGATTACACAAAAGGAGATATTATCACCATCATATCTAAAAAAGTTGTGACCATTTTTATGACAAAGGATAATTGTCTCTGAAATAAACAGCTATCCTATATGAGAATTCTAAAACTGAAGTATAAATTTTTTCAATAATGTAAAAAGAGAAAAACGAAGAGGTACAAAATTATAGCATGGGCCAAATTTCACCACATCAGCTCAAAAAGTATGTCATTAGCTATTTCCTTTCACTATCACAAATAAGAAAGTCAATAGTGTCTCCCACCAAAAAAAAGAACTTACTTTTAAAGGTAGCTTAATCTATTTTATAAAATACTTCAGAAAACAATGTGCATGAGAATTAACACTCATGATGGATATGCTAGATTTATTCACAAGGAAAGTTCATTTACTAGGATGTGCAATACTAATGAAAAGGGAAAAGCATTCCTCTATATTAATATTTTTGACATGATTCTAAAAAACCTCCAGTAACTCCATCAATATTACCTCATATATTTTCTACAAATGGAATAACACAAAAATAGGATACATAAGTGATGACAAAAAAGTTCTTTTATATACAAATTTCCTTGTCAATATATTAGGGAATACAGTGTTGATCTTTTCCTTAATTTAGTGCTACGGGGAAAAGAGCAAGAATTTCACAAAATTCTAGAACACAAAATAACGTTATTACTAGCTGTGGCAAGTAGACAAGTTACTTAGACTCTTTGATGTTACAATCCCTATCTAATAAGATTACAAGATAAAACATTCAGGCAGATTTGAAAACAGCTGTAAAGAACATTTTCTCTAAAAAGTAGTTATCTATTCAATTTATTTAATTCTGACAATGAGGGCACATAACTGTCTATTGTCAAATAGTTTTATATTTTTCTATCTAATAAGAATGCTTGCTTTATAAAATAAAGATGATACTTAAATATGTTACACAAAGGATATGAAGCCACAGTGAAGTAATAGTGAACAGATCTTTTATTTTAATATAAAAATAACATCTCTTAATTAGTAATCACATAACATATTTCCAGTTCTAAATGTCCAACTTTAATAGTAGAATGTTGGGTCAATTAAAATAATTATCTATCTGTAGCTGACCAACATACCTCTTGCACTATCTAATAGTAGCCTGTGAAATGAAGTTATTTAGGTAGCCTGGATCACATTACAAAAGTTTTATAATATGATAAAGTTTTGTTAGGTTCACTTTCAGGTGCTTGAGTGATTAATGACAGCATTTTCTATTTTTTTAAATAACCCAAGACTCTTTTATCTAAGAATATTATGTATATATATATATATATATATATGCAGTATATTTTTTGGCCATAACCCCACTGTGACATTTAACAATGTAATTTAATGTTAACATAAAATCCTCATTAGGAAAACAGATTCGATTAATTGGCTTCAGATCAATATCACTATAATTTCACGGAACATATTTGATTTTAGGACTAATTAACATACTGCCCTGTAGAGAGCTCAAGTTTGTTCAAACATAACTTGGAGAAATTAAGATACATTATC